GGGAAAAGGTACTCTAAATGTACCAGGATTGCCTCATCTGGACGAATTTCTCCTAGTCAGTGGTCTGAAGGCAAATCTTATTAGCATCAGTCAGCTGTGTGATCAAAATTGGAATGTGTGCTTCAATCGTGACTGCTGCAGAGTCCGTGATAAAGCAGACTAAGTGGTGATGGAAGGAACACGATCCTCTGACAACTGTTATGTTCTGACTAATGAAACAGCATGTCTAAATTCTAAAACAGACGAATCAAAACTGTGGCATCGACGATTTGGTCACATTAACTTCAGAGATATGGAAAAAATGATCAAATTAGATGCTGTTCGTGGGATACCTAAGCTCAAAATAGAACAGGAAGGAATTTGTGGTGCATGTGCCATTGGAAAGCAAATAAGGGCTCCTCACAAAGCAGTAAAAGTGATCACTACTGAGAGATGTCTAGAACTGGTCCATATAGACCTCATGGGACCAACTCAGACTGAAAGCATTGGCGGAAAGAAATACATCTTTGTGTGTGTAGATGACTTCTCTCGGTTCAGCTGGGTATATTTTCTGAGAGAAAAATCTGAGGCATTCAATGCTTTCAAGACTCTATGCATAAGAGTACAAAAAGAAAAAGACGAGTCCATCATAAAAATTCAAAGACTGAGAAGTGATCACGGGAAAGAGTTCGAAAATTCCTTATACTCATATTTCTACTCTGAAAATGGAATAGCTCATGAGTTCTCGGCTCCCAGAAGAACACAACAGAATGGTGTGGTGGAAAGAAAGAATCGGACATTGCAGGAAATGGCCAGAGTGATGTTGCACGCATCGCATCTACCGCAGCGTTTCTGGGCTGAAGCAGTGCACACAGCATGTCATACAGTAAATAGAGTCTATCTCAGACCAGGTACGACTAAGACACCATATGAGATATGGAAAGGGAAAAAGTCGAATCTGAAGTACTTCCATCTGTTTGGCACAAGATGCTATGTTCTAATTGATAGGGAACAAAGGGGAAAGTTTGAACCCAAGAGTGATGAGGGCATCTTTCTTGGATACTCTCCAAACAGTCGAGCTTATAGAGTTTATAACAAACGAACTCAATCAGTCATGGAATCAATGAATGTTGTTATCGATGATAACCCAGGAGAATCAGATGAAACATCGGTGATTGATCCAGAGACAGACCTTCATATTAGTGAGTCGTTAGAAACAACTGAAAAAACCAAACTGCTTGACACACATGACTCATCAGAAGAAGATAAAGAAAGCCCAGAGCATGAGAACTTTCTCTTGGATGGTGATGGTAAGAATAAGCCCACTAGAACACAAAAAAAAAAAAAAAATCATCCACCAGACAACATAATTGGTAATCTATCAGATGGAATGAACACCAGAAGTCGAATGAGGAGCAATCTGATAGAAATATCCGGACTTGCCTGCTACACCTTAAAAATAGAACCAAAAAATGTGAAGGAAGCCTTACAGGATGATCTATGGATTAAGGCTATGCAGGAGGAGCTACATCAGTTTGACCGCAATCATGTATGGGATCTGGTACCAAGGCCTGACCGTGTTAACATAATCGGAACAAAGTGGATCTTCAAAAATAAAGCTAATGAAGCTGGAAATATTGCAAGAAACAAAGCTCGGTTGGTTGCTCAAGGATGTACACAAATTGAGGGTATTGACTATGATGAAACGTTTGCTCCTGTTGCAAGATTGGAGTCAATCAGAATTCTATTGGCAGTTGCATGTATTCTAGGTTTCACACTATTTCAGATGGATGTTAAGACAGCATTTCTGAATGGGTATCTGCATGAAGATATCTATGTAGCACAACCTAAAGGTTTTGAAAACCCAGTTCATTCGACGCATGTCTACAAGCTTAGAAAAGCTCTCTATGGGCTTAAACAAGCTCCAAGGGCATGGTACGAACGACTAACACAGTATCTGCTACATCATGGGTATAGCCGAGGGAGTGTTGACAAGACCTTGTTTGTTAAAACCACTGGAAGTCATGTGACTATAGTTCAGATTTATGTAGATGATATTGTCTTCGGATCTACTCTACAGAAATATACTGATGACTTAGTGAAGGTTATGAAGGAAGAATTTGAAATGTCCATGGTAGGTCAACTGACTTATTTCTTAGGACTTCAAGTCAAACAGAGTACAGAAGGCTACTTTATCTCACAAGAAAATTATGCCAAAAATTTGATCTGGAGTCATGTAAAACTCCCATAACCCCTATTCCACTTCAACAAAGGGGTCAAAAGATGATACTGGCGCATCAGTTGATAACACAGTCTATCGAAGCCTAATCGGAAGTCTGCTATATTTGACCGCAAGTCGGCCAGATATTATGTTCAGTGTTGGGATATGTGCAAGATATCAATCCGATCCCAAAGAGTCACATTTGATAGCTGCTAAACGGATCTTGAAATACATCAAGGGCACAATTCAGTATGGGTTATGGTACTCCGAGGACAGTGAACTCAGTCTAAGAGCGTATTGTGATGCTAATTGGGCAGGTAACATAGATGACAGAAAAAGTACATCAGGTGGATGCTTCTTTGTTGGAAAGAATTTAGTCTCATGGCTAAGCAAGAAGCAGAACTCAATCTCTCTAAGTACTGCAGAGGCAGAATATATAGAAGCTGGAGGATGTTGCACTCAGTTGGTCTGGATGAAGCAAATGCTTCTAGATTATGGTCTCACACAAAGGACTATGACACTCTACTGTGACAATGTCAGTGCAATAAATATTTCAAAGAACCTAATTCAACACTCTAGAACGAAGCATATTGATATAAGGCATCATTATATCAGAGACTTGGTAGAGTCAAGGGAGATAGAATTGGAATATATTCAAACAGATAAGCAATTGGCTAATATTCTGACTAAGCCTCTGGACGCAAATCGGTTTGAGATTCTCATATCTGCTCTGGGAATCTGCAGGATTGATCAATAAGGCAGGATGATGACACAGAAGGAGAGTGTATGGTGGTCACAATCACGGGTCAAAATTACATATTTGACTTCCTTTTTAATCTCTCTTCTGTTTATGTTAAGATATTATCTTAACCTTGGTTACCAAAATTAATTCGCCTCTTTCAAAATTCAAATCATCCGTTTAATCCCTTAAAAGGAGCTATACCGTTGCGTCAATCACATCCGCTGCATGCATTCTGACAACCGCATTAAATAGTCTTCATCACCCTTGTGATTATATATTTGATCGGGTCTCTTTTACTTTGGAGGAAGAGTTCTAAATACTTCTTATCTCTCTGTTATTTGCTTACTGATTCTACACCTAGGGTTTCTCTCTGTTTTCCCAAATCACACAACAATGGCGGATGCAGTGAGAAATATTATCATCAAGCTGGGAAGGAAAGTTCATTCACCAGAAACAGCCACGAAGCATGTCAAAACTCTTCTCCAACTCACTATGAAAAAGAAGTTGAAGCTTGACCCTGATCTCCGCGACGAAATCATGGTCACAGTGTTCTCAGATTACCCGAAGTTCTATGCGGATTGGTCCGACGAAGACACAAGTGACCTCTTGATGTTGGCCTCCGAAGCGAGTGATGATGTTAGCCTTGCGTCCATTCCTGAGCCTGAAGATGGTAATCGTGCTAGGGCTTTTCTCCAATATTTCGCCCAAAGGGCTCTGGAATCCGAAGAAGTCTCGCGTCGACGGATGGCAGCTCAACCTCTCTATCTTCAAGCTGCACAGAAAGAAGCCACACACCGTATCGAGATTCTTCATAATAGGTCTAATACTTCTGAAACCCCTATTAAGATATCTCCTGATAAGCCTGATGATTTAATTTCTGATGCTATTGAATCTGCTCTGCCTGTTGCTCAATCCGATAATGAGAATGTTTTTCTGTCTGAGAAATCCTCTGTGTCTGATGATCCTCTTCGTGTATCTTCTGAAAATTTGGAGTCTGCAAAAGTTGTCCCTAACAGTGCTTCTGATGATAATGTAGACAATTTGAGTCTAGTTGTGTACTCTGCTGATGTTGCACGATCTGCTATTCCTGTTTTACCCATATCTGATGTTGCTAAGTCACCAGTTGAAGTTTGCCCAGTAGATGTTTCTCCTAAGGTGTCAACTGAAATTGAGGCTGCCAGACTCTCAAGCCCGCGTTCCTCTTATCAAATTGATGGAGTTCCTGTGTATACTTCAACCTCTCTGGCTGAGAGCCTTGACCAAATCCGTCACTTTGCCGGTTTACCATCTACTTCTGTACCAGAACCTTATAGAGTCATTCACCCTGATGATCCTCCTGTATAGCTTGACAGTGATGATGAGAAGATACTGGCTGAAGTTTATGGTCCTCAAGCTAAGTCGTCTGGACCTCTTACAGTAGAAGCAACAGCACATCCAAACTCGAATACCTTCAAAATTCGAGAAGTCTCCAAACTTCTTGACTCTTCGTCTGCTCTTGTGTCAAAAACAAGCCACTCGGTTTCACCAAGCCCAACCGATCATTCTCCATCCAGAGAGACAAGGAAATCGAAGCGCAAAGGGATTCCTGAGAGTAGCAGTTGAAACCGGTGATGATAATCTTGATACGGTTCAACCTGAGAAAAGAAGGCGATCTGCTGAATCCGTCAAAGCTGAAAGTGATCCACCTGTTCAACAGGTTTTCAAAACTCTGCAATCGTCTGTCAAGAACAATGCACCTACTACGGTCTCCACCACCTCTACCAGAAAGATGAAACCAACTACAAGGTCGAGAGGAAGGAGTGTTACTCCTGATGTCCAAGCTGCTTCGAACAACCCTGACACATCGATTTACAAACCTCAGTTTGTTTCTGCTACAGCTCAAGGAAAATGGTCTGATGGTTCGATGGGAACTTATAGTTCAGCGATCGGTTAATGAGAATCAGTTGAATTCTGTCTGTGACATCCTGCCGTTGCTCAGTGAAGTTGGCCTCATGAAGACTGTCACTTCTATTTGTCCTTACTCCAAGCTACTGACCTACGAGTTCTTCTGTAATCTGAATGAAAATTGACAATCTTTCGGGGACCCGGTGCATGCAGATTTTCATCAGAGGGAAATGGTATGTTTTCAGTCCAGATGTGATTAATGAGTATTATGGTCTGAAGGTTGTTGATGAGGAAGAGATTACGGATTGGGATTTAGTTGCAAAGACTCTTACTGGTGGTCAGACTCCTGTATGGCCTACAGGTGATGTTGATACTCTGTCTAGCTCGAAGCTCACCTCCAAATATGTTATTCTGCACCGTATTGCCTTACACAATTGGCTACCTTCTGCACACTTCCATATGGTTGGCAAGCAACTGGCTGCTCTTCTATTTCGAATTGGCACCAAAATGACCATTGATCTAGGAAAGTGGATCTTCTATTATTTCCTCATTTTGATCCATTCGAGGGAACAGAAGGTACGACTGCCTTATCCTAATCTCATTTTTGGAGTTCTGACAACGCAGGGCCTGGTCCCAATGCCAAGCGAGATTATCTGTCCAACTCTGCTCTACACTGTTGATCCACGTCTATTGACTGGCAAGCACATCCGAGATGTTACACCTGTGGCTGCGCCTCCATCCTCTGATGCTGACACTCATGTTGATGACTCGCCACATGCGAGGGACGTTCAGCTTTCCCTTCGATTGAAGGCTCGGGTGTCTGAGTTGGAAACTGTTAATGGAATCATTGCGAAGCAGCTCACAGCAGCCCGTACTGAACTTGCAACTGTTCTACTTCGTCTGAGCCTGACTGAGTCTGCTGCTGCTGAGAATGTGAAGTCCGACAGTGATGAACCCTAGAATTCTTGAATGGTTCTTTGTCTATCTTTGGCAAAAAGGGGGAGTGATTAAACTCAGGTGGAGTTTTTGTTTTTATACCTTCTGGCCCTGTCTGGGCATGTGTTTGTGATGGCCTCACGATCTGCGAAGAATGCTACTTTTTTTTATCAGCACGACATGTGTGCTGCTATTATTTAAGGGTTGTATTTGTATTTCAGACTATGCTCTTTATGCGATTTTTATCTTCCTTTCATTCTCCAAAAATTTTGGTGTATCTTAGTCGAGTTGTTTTGCCAAATAATAGCCAAAGGGGGAGTTTGTTACTGTTTTGTTTTCTCCATAAAACCCCAACATATGATTGGCAATATTATTATGGCAAACTAAGATAGGGTTTAACTTGGTGTCTGTTTGTTCTACAGAAGACTGATCGATCAGAGACATCAACAGACGCACTGACACTGAAGATCTGATAAAGGAAGAAGTTTCCAAAAACACTGAACGCAGTTTGAAGACTTTTGGAAAGAAAATCAGCGGATCTGTTTTGGAAGGTATGGACCGAATCTCGAAGATTGCATTCTTCACAAATCGTCCTACCATCTACAATCAAAGATATTTTTGGAGAGTGGTTTTTCTAAGGAAGTATAATTACCCTCATTCGGTCATGAATTAGGGTTACGTTTTGAAAGACAAAAAAAAAAAGGCACTCCTTGCTACAGAAGATTACATCTTTGATTATGCCTCTTCTCAAGAATATATGTTCTTGGTGATTATGATGAAGAACTTGAGAAGAACTATCGTTGCTTAAATGAAAGGACACGAAATTCACTTAGTTGTGGGAACAACGTGGGACTGCGTCATTGAAGCAGACTGCATCTGAGTTAGCTCTCCAACCAAAGGGATTTCGTTGGACTTCTGCATGCGTGGCTCTCCGTCTTCAACAATCCACTAAACCTTTGCAGACTGGGTACGTACCTTGTGTGGGGCACTTGGGTGAGATTCTTGTTTCTCTACCTTTGTACATTGGATTATGAGTTAGTGGATTGGACGCCTCGGTGATCATCCCTCAGATGTAGATACACACTGTATCGAACTGGGTAAACATCGTATGTGTGTTCTTATTATCTGCTTTAGTTTTTCCTCGACAAACTAAGTGCCAATCTATCGATCTGACTGATTATTCACATATTCGCATCAGTTAATTCAATATATCAGTTGCTTATATCTAATAATCATCTTAATCTGGGGAAATGCAAAATTACATACATATATGGTGATATGATTCTCTAGCCCCTTGATGTTTGAATGGTAGAATAATCTCACAAAAGAAGCCCCAGACACTTCACGATTAGCAAAACCAAATTATGTGCGCAGCTTGCTGGTTTGTACTGATTTTGGTAAGTATTATTTTTGGGATTTTGGCTTTATGGGCAAAAGGGAAACAAAAGAAATGATAGTAGCCTTAGTAGCAAAGGCCTGAACAAAATAAATTGAGCTTGGACGCCACACAATCACTGATAAGGTCCACACTCAGGATAACTCATTATAACTCGTGAGTTGGAGAAAACACATGACTTTCAATTTTCATCAATCAACCAACTGAAATGTACAAGTCTCAACCTATTTATAGCTATTTCCTAAGATATTAATATGAAAATGGGTAATTAAAAGTAGGGAAATGTGGAGAACATGGAAGCACATTTCCTACAAAGTAGCTAGAAAAGTGGATAACCACTAACTATGTGGAGATAAAGTCTCCATTTAGATTTAACCCTCTCCTAATCTTACCTGGTGCACAAAAACAAATAAATGACTAATTCAATGTCTTAAAATAATGAAAACATCCAAAAAAAATATAAGACTTGGTCGGTCCAAATAGGTAATGCTACGAACAAGATCATTTGTCACCCTTTTCTTCCGTACTGAGTGTGTGGTGTATCTTAAGATCAATTTAATGGATTAATAGCATCCAATTACATTAACTAAGGCTTTTTCTTCCATATCATTTAATGTTAGTAATGGCCTTCAAATGCAATGTTAAGCAATTTATGAAGCACATGCCTTAATTCTTAACATTCCCTCACTCTTTTGAAATGATTCGTCCTCGAATCACACTTTCATCGGTCAAATGGAAATGAGTAAATTTCCCAACATATGAATTGAAACTCCTCATCAAATAAAGTGAGTGATCCTAATTTTCCTTGAACTTGGCACATCACCACCACAAATGCATTTGACTTTGGATCTCTATTTGTCTTGCCTTCCAACCTATTGTCAACACTTGCAACACATCCATATCCCCTGCAATGAATTTAAAATAAAGGTTATTGTGTTCTCAATGTCTTCTCCGTCTTTCTTTCTTTCACAAAGATCAAAACACAATTCTTCATTCTCATTTTCACTATTTTGGTCATTCTTTTCTTCTTTTTCACTCAAACTTTCCTGCTCTTTGTTTACACACTCATCTCCACAAATTTTTACATTATCACTCATTTTTTTTTGAGCTCTCATCACATGACAAAGGAAATAGATGTCGAATGTTTGACCTCCTTTTACTATAATCTTTTTTCAATTTGTTTGGGGGTATAACAAAGTAAACAAACACTTGCACTCATAAGGAAGCAATTGTGCAATTTCTTTTCTAACACCATACAAAAATCTATTGTTAGTAATTACAGTTGGTTCAATCACCCCATTTTGGATCATCAAGTCTCTTAACTTCTTGTAGAATTCTTTCACAATGAGTGATCCTTGTTGAAGTGTATTTAACTCAAAAGACTCCATGGATGATGAAAAACAGTAAACACTAAATCTGGACAGATTTTGTCACTGGCTTTCAGAATTTTCTGGGATTGGTATGTGTGTGATTTTGGCCCAAAACTTTCATGAAACTAAACAATGGTAAGTTTTATGCTTCCAGAAAAAATTTCAAAGCAATTGGATATGTGGAAGTATTTTTTTGCAATTTATCCCTCAAACAATGCAGGTTGGAAATCTTGGCAGAAACTGGACCAACAGTAAGCCGGAATTCAATGAATTTTCTTTGTTTATGTATGAATGATTTCGGCCAATTTTTTTTTACATGGAAGGCAATATTTGTGAGTTATCTACTACCAAGAAAAAGTCAGAAATAAAAATCCATAAAAATAGTTCCCTTTGTTGTTCAGATCTGAAATTTTTCTTGGTGGTAGATAACTCAAATTTTTCTTGGTAGTAGTATACTTATGTTATACTTACAGCGAATTTTTATTTGTTTTCTGAATTTAACAATATATGGTTGTTTTGGTCTGAAATTTATATGATTTTTATTTTTGATGAGAGGTCAAAGAAAATCGATGTAAGTATAACGTAACGTAACAATCATATATTGTTAAATATATAAAATTCGTATATGCCCTTGTATGTATACTTCTTTTATTTTGTGTATGTTTTTAATTGTAGGAAGAAATATAAGCATGACATGATGCTAACGCAAGAAGCTGAAGGGTCAACTGAGCCACCAATTATAAACATGTCACAGTTGTATGTAGATGTTATTGGTGGGGTAAAGAAACAACGTATTTATGGCTTAGGGACTAAGGCATCCTCATTTATCAATGCGAATAGCTGTAGTTCATTTGCTATTTCAAAACTTCATCAAGATGCAATGAAGGAGATGGTGACCCAACAGTTAGAGACCATGCGAGCTGAGATGCAAGTTCAAATTCAAGCTGAGATGCAAGCGCAACTACAAGCTCAGATGCAGGCACAACTACAAGCTAAAAGAACTCAACTGCAGGCTCAAATGCAAGTTGATGGATGAGTTGCATCACAACGACATGCTATCCACTTCTACGGCACAACCCCCAACTACTCAAGCTGAACATTTTGCTAATTCAAATGTTGGAAACCTTAGAGATTATTAGATTATGTTTATTAATATATTTGGTATTGTTTCTAACGATGTAACATTACACAATGCTATACTTTTGTTATTGTTATTGAGTGTATCGAGTTAATTCCAGCAATGGTCCTCTGACTATTGCAATTTTCCAAAATTGATCCTCGACTTTTAATTTGGACAAAAAAGACACTTGACTTTCTAATTTGTTCCACCAAAGATCCTTCGATTAGCAAACCATTTCTTAGCCGTCAGTTTAGGGGGCAAATGTGTCTTTTCATTATATTGCTTTCTTCTTCCTCTTAGCCTAGCAGCCCTCGCTTATTTGACGCACAGAAGTAGTGCGAAGAACTCCCGTACGAAGAAAGCAATTGTTCCTCGTTTTCCTCTTAGCCTAGCTTCGAATTGTTCCAGTACGAAGAAAGCATGGCAACTCCATAGCTATAGCGGCAGGGGCTTCTGTCGTCTCGTCAGTTAAAACGGAGTCGCGGTGTTTGGGCGTTGGGAGGCCTTCCGTTGATGCGTGTGGTAATAATGGAAGGTTGAATACGCCAGCCGCCCACCTTCTGTTATCGTACTTAGGGGTTGTTGCCCTGGCAACTCTTTGTCAAACGCCGCCGGGAATAGGGGCTGTGGTATAAATAGCAGCAATAATGACTTGTTGCCTAGACCGCGGGCATTTCCTCCGTGCCTGCCCCATTTGCTTCGTGATTCCAAGGAGACTAAGCTCGGAGATGGCACTTCAGAGTTTTTTTATACCGAAAGCGAACCTTCTCACGAAGGAAGATCGATTGGCTTCCCGCACTGTGATCCATCTGAGAAAATTATCCTTGTTGTTGATATTGATGAGGGTACTACGCTCGTGTTTCCCTATTTTCGCTAGTTTTGTTCAATTAAACATTACCTGAGTGTGATCACCTCTCTGCATATTCATGTATCAACCTTTTTCACACAAGCACAATGATGGAATTGCTTTCATCCGGTAACTGTGTCTGTGGTAGGGATTGTTTGACATAGCATTTTTTCCATTAATGTTATTTTCTTAGGTGACAAAGGAAAATTCACAGCCACCCTACAATGTTGTGTATGTTGCATAGGGGTAAACCGGCCCTATGATCTTAGCCGGATAAGAACCTAGGTTGTCTATAGCTTATCGGCTCAAACCAAAGAGGTCAATAGGTCACCCGGAGTTGACTTGGAACCTCATTGGGGTTTAAGTGAATAATATGACCAACTTGGTTGGGATGGTGCCATCCATATGTGTTATTTGAAATCACGGCAACTTGTGCTGATTCTATGTTCACATATCTGCCATTCAAGTTGAAATATTTACCAAATTCCACCTACATTGTTGTGTGATATTGTCTCCAATGAATTATTTAACGAAATGGCTAATCAATCATGTCTTCTTGTCTCGTTTGTTTGATCCGTTGTATACCATGATCTTTGTTTAATTTGATTTAGTTGTTCGTGATAAGACACTCTGTCTCTCTACTTTTATGTCCAGTTCTTGGAATAATTGCTTTCTTGTACTAGAGTTCTTCGCACCGCTTCTATGCGTCAAATAAGTCAGGGCTTCTTGGCTAAGAGGAAGAAGAAAGTAAATATAATGAAAAGACACATTTGTCCCCTAAACTGACGGCCAAGAAACGATTTGCTAACAAAAGGACCTTTGATGGAACAAATTAGAAAGTCAGGTGTCTTTTTTGTCTAAATTAAAAGTCCATGACCAATTTTAGAAAAACGCAAAAGTCGGAAGACCATTACTGGAATTAACTCTTGAATTTTTTTAATATAATATATTTTACAATTATATTATTGATTGCAGTATTCTATTACAGGTTTAATGCAAGTATGTGATATTAATTAGTGTGTAGATTATTATTATTTTTAATTTTAAAAATTTAGCGATAGACAAAAATTGTAGTAAATATGAAGTTAAATACCTAATAACAATAAAGAATGGCAACGAAATAGCGACAGAAAAATCCATTGCTAAATTTAGCGACGGATTTTTCCGTCGCTAAACTGTAGCTAAATGGCATCCAATGCAAAAAATAGAAACAAATTAACGAAGAAATTTTCCGTCGCTAAATGTAGCGACGGACATTTAGCGACAGAATTTTCTGACGCTAAATATAGCGATGGAAAAGTTCGTCGCTATTCCCTTGCAAATTTCTTCATTAAATCATTGTGGTAGGAAACTAGCTTTGTTTTTTCTTTTTTTTTTTCTTTTTTTTTTTAGCGATGGAATTTTTCGTCGTTATTCCCTTGTAGTGGTTTGATGAGGATTCGATATTGATGAGTGTCGAATCCAACAAATTATAATTTACTTACTCTAATAAAATTGCAACAGTGATGAGTAAGGTCGTATCCCTAGAGATTGGTTCGATTTAATTTTAAGCAAAGATTAAATTAAGAATAGAATGGCGATTCAAGTTCAAAATGCAAATAATAAAATGTCAAAAGAAATCAACATCAAATAAAATGAATCAATAGAAAACTAGTATCCAACCCAAGGCATAATATCATAATTGATTCAAATAAGTGATCATTGAAATAAAGTGTAAATCCTTTTATCCTACACCAAACTGGTTATGGTTATTAACAAGCTCTAACAACCTATCTCTCCTTACTTTATCGGTAATCAAAACAGGCTCTTCAATTACTTCCCTAGATAATTAACAACTCTAAACAAGCTCTTAGGATTTAATTAACTACCAGCATTAAAAATTAGAAAGACTACCAATTCTAGCCAACAGACTCGCAAGCTCGATCCATTTAAACTAGATTATACATCTCCATAACATAAAATTGAAAATCTAATTTATAATCAACTATGTTATTTTACCACTAGGGCTTAGAATACTTAAACAATTACGGATTCAAGAATTCTAAATGGCAATTTACTGGAATGAAAATTGAACAATGGATCCTATTTGCACAATTAATCAAAGCAGTAATATATCAAGATAATAGAAGATATATAAATAATATAGCATAAAAGAAAACCAAATTACGTCTCACAATCCTAAAAGAACCAAAACTTCAATTATTCTTGAGTTGGAAAATAAACTTAGCAGAACATAATAATTAAATGTTTACAGAAAATAAAATTTTTCTTTGAACTGACTGAGTTCTACTGAAAATTCAGCCTTATTTATACTAGTTCAGGCTCCATAATCAACTCAAAATAGCCCTAATTTCCCTAACATCCACAAATTAAAATTAATTTCTTCAACCACATAAAACCTAGAAAATAAATAATATTTAATTTCCTAACCATAGAAAATTAGCAAAGTAGGCTATTGTTGCTCTAACCTCTAATTCAATTAACTGGTTCGTGGATGTAGCTCAATGAAACCGTCTGCAGCTCGTGGTTTGCCAAAAATCAAAGATGGCCTTAATCATATTAAAAATCATGCATGCATCAAATTAGCTTTAAAAAGAATCAAGGCAAGTTCTAGAGACACAGATCCATGGAAGATATCACACAAGAATAAAATAATTGGACTGAAGTGTCAGTCAAAGGCTCAAAAATCTCACAGGTTCATGCTTGCTTAGTTTAGCCACCACCATATGAAACAAAATACTAACCTAAGTAATCATAATATGCAAGACCAATTAATCAATTATGTTATGAATTTTAGTAAAAATATTATTATTTTTTGAAAAATTTATTAGTAATTTTTTTTTTGAAGGGAAGAATCAAATAATGAATAATAGTTAAATCCCCTCCCCACACTTATTCTTAACATTGTCCCCAATGTTAAATAGAATGTAAAGATAAGAGAAAAATTAATAAAAATGCAAAACAAATAAAGGAAAAAATTGAATAAACTCCCCTTGGGTTACCTCCCAAGCAGTGCCTTTCTTTAAAGTCTTTGGCTGGACTCCATTCCCGTCCTAACGCATCCTCAAAGTTAGGATTTTTGTTCAGCGCAACATCCATTTCCTCATCACCAATCAAATGAGAATTATCTTCCAGCAATAAAATATCCACAACAAAAACAGATGATATGTCATTCAAATGTTTAATGGTAGTATTAAATATATCAAATTTAACAATTTCACCATCAAACTCCATTGTTAATGTACCATCATGCACATCAATTTTTGACTTAGTTGTTTTCAGAAATGGCTTTCCCAACAATATTAGTTTTGAATCATAATAGTTATTATCTTCTTCTATATCAACTATATAAAAATCCGCAGGAAAAACTAACCCATCAACTTGTACTAAAACATTTTCTAGAACCCCCACAGGATATACATTAGATCTATCAGCAAGTTGAATAATTATACTCGTTCCTTTTAATGGACCAACAGTCAGAGATGAATAAACAGATAAAGGCATCACATTAATTGAAGCTCCTAGATCTAACATTGCTCTTTCAATCTTAACATTACCTATCTTGCAAGGGATAGCAAACATACCTGGGTTTTTACACTTGGGAGGTAATTTTTTCTGAAGGATAGCTGAAACACTTTCCCCCATACTTACCATTTCATTACCTTTCAACTTTCTTTTATTTGTGCACAACTCTTTGAGAAATTTAGCATATCGAGGAATTTGTTTAATAGCATCAAGTAAAGGAATATTTACCTCAATTTTTCGAAATGTTTCAAGAATTTCTTTCTCTTCTTCATTCCTTTTGGATTTAGCTAATCTACTAGGAAAAGGCAGAGGAATTACCATTGTCTTTGGATGCTCTCCAATAGGCTTTTGATCATCTTGAGGTTGATGAACTTCTTTTTCCGTTTCCTCATCTCGGTTGGGTGTTTTTCGCACTTGAGTAGGTTCTGGCAACTCTTTTTCACTTCTCAATGTAATTGCACTTACATTTTCCTTTGGGTTCACAACAGTTTGTGATGGCAATTTACCTTGAGACTCCAATCTACTCACGGTAGATGCTAGCTGGCTCATTTGACTTTCTAAGTGTTGAATACTTGCTCTTGTTTCTTGCTGAAATTGTTGTGTGTTAGTAGCAACTGACTTAACAATATCTTCCAACAACGTACCTGAAATAGAAGATGATTGTTGTAGGATGAAGGTTGTTGTTGTTGAAATTGTGGGCGTGCCTTATAGCTGAAATTCGGATGATCCCTCCATCATGGGTTGTATGTATTTGAATAGGGATCATAATTTCTTTGTGATTGGCCCGAAAATCCTCCAAGTGCATTGACATCCTCGCAAGAGTTGTATTGAAGCGTCGGGCACATGTCAGTTGGATGGCCAGTAACAGCACAAATTCCACAAGCTTTTACTTGTTGCACATTTCTTACAACTAACTGTTGAACAAGAGTAGTTAATTGAGATAATTTATTGTCAAGGGAAGAAATATTTACCTCATTCACTCTTCTTAGAGATGCTCTTGTCTACATCCAAATTGTTGTGAATTAGCAGCCATGATGGATATCAAATCTCTAGCTTCACGAGGAGTTTTGTTCACTATAGCACCTCGACTAGCTGCATCCATCATATTTCTTTCCATGGGCAGCAATCCTTCATAGAAGTATTGAATAAGGAATTGTTCAGAAACTCCATGTTGGGGGCAACTTGCACACAGTTGCTTGAAGCGTTCCCAGTATTCGTGGAGGGTCTCTACGTCTCTTTGCTTAATGCCACATATTTCTCTTCTAATGCTAGCTGCTCGTGAAGCTGGAAAAAACTTTTCAAGAAATAGTCTTACCATATCCGCCCATGTGGTTATTGTGCTAGGAGGGAGGTAAAATAACCAATCCTTTGCTTTCTCGGTTAATGAAAATGGGAAGACGCGCAATTTGATTTAATCTTCCGTCACTCCATGTGGTTTGAAGCTCGAACACACCACGTGGAACTCATTTAGGTGCTTATGTGGATCTTCATTTTCAAGTCCATGAAAAGTCGGAAGTAATTGAATCAAACCTGATCTTAATTCAAAACCAACCTCTAATGCAGGATGTTGAATACAAAGCGGTTGTTGATTCACATTTGGTGTCGAAAGCTCCCGCAAGGTCCTTTGTTCTTCGGCCATTGCTTGCTCAACTTCAGAATCGCAGCAAGTGGCAGTTGATTGGGTTGTGGTATTTGATTGAAGAGATGTTGATGAAAGGGCTTGATTTTGCGTAATTTAGTCTCCTTCCTCAACCTCTTTGCAGTCTTCTCAATCTCAGGATCGTATTGTAGTTGACCTGTACGAGAAGAACGTGACATAAAAATAAATCTATTTGACACCAATCCCCGGCAACGGCGCCAAAAATTTGATGGGTGTTGAATCCAACAAATTATAATTTACTTACTCTAATAAAATTGCAACAGTGATGAGTAAGGTCGTATCCCTAGAGATTGGTTCGATTTAATTTTAAGCCAAGATTAAATTAAGAATAGAATGGCGATTCAAGTTCAAAATGCAAATAATAAAATGAAAAAAGAAATTAATATCAAATAAAATGAATCAATAGAAAACTAGTATCCAACCCAAGGCATAATATCATAATTGATTCAAATAAGTGATCATTGAAATAAAGTGTAAATCCTTTTATCCTACACCAAACTGGTTATGGTTATTAACAAGCTCTAACAACCTATCTCTCCTTACTTTATCGGTAATCAAAACAGGCTCTTCAATTACTTCCCTAGATAATTAACAACTCTAAACAAGTTCTTAGGATTTAATTAACTACCAGCATTAAAAATTAGAAAGACTACCAATTCTAGCCAACAGACTCGCAAGCTCGATCCATTTAAACTAGATTATACATCTCCATAACATAAGATTGAAAATCTAATTTATAATCAACTATGTTATTTTACCACTAGGGCTAGAATACTTAAACAATTACGGATTCAAGAATTCTAAATGGCAATTTACTAGAATGAAAATTGAACAACGGATCCTATTTGCACAATTAATCAAAGCAGTAATATATCAAGATAATAGAAGATATATAAATAATATAGCATAAAAGAAAACCAAATTAAGTCTTACAATCCTAAAAGAACCAAAACTTCAATTATTCTTGAGTTGTAAAATAAACTTAGCAGAACATAATAATTAAATGTTTACAGAAAATAAAATTATTCTCTGAACTGACTGACTTCTACTGAAAATTCAGCCCTATTTATACTAGTTCAGGCTCCATAATCAGTTCAAAATAGCCCTAATTTCCTTAACATCCACAAATTAAAATCAATTTCTTCAACCACATAAAGCCTAGAAAATAAATAATATTTAATTTCCTAACCATAGAAAATTAGCAAAGTAGGCAATTGTTGCTCCAACCTCTAATTCAATTAACTGGTTCATGGATGTAGCTCATTGAAACCGTCTGCAGCTCGTGGTTTGCCAAAGAAGTCGCCGTCCGAGTTCCATTCGTAGAAGCCGTTCGAGGTTGCCAATGTCGTCGTTGCTCCGTTCAAAGAAGAAGTTGTTGCCGACTCTGTTGTCTACGTACATATTGTACAAGGGAAAAAATAATAAGTAAAGAACAAATATATTAACTAAAATCTTGGGCTGCTGAATTCATAAAACAAATAAAATATGTTAGTTGGGCCAACTGAAAAAAAAATTAACCTACTTTAATTCCACCAATCTCAACTCTTAATAATTAACAAATGTAATATGTTTATTCTTAATGGCTCAAAAATGACCTTAAACTTAAATTATTCTAATAACTATTATATTAATACAAAATATAAATTAATGTTTAAAATAAATATAATATTAAATAAATAAAATCAATTGATTATAAAAACTAATCTAAATTAAATATAAAAATAGTGCGTATCAGATATATCTGAATAATGAATAATGTGTCCAGTATAGAGTATATCTAGCTGAGTATACAAGACCTAACACAAGACGAATACTAATAATAATAGACTAATAGTGATAGACTAATAGTAATGCTAATAGACTCCTAATGCTCCCCCTCAAGCGCAAGATTGACTGGAAACAACATTGAGCTTGCTACAGAGAGACGTGAAATGAGGACCAAGAAAGGCCTTAGTGAACACATCAGCTAACTGATCCGTTGTGGAGATGAAGCTCACCTGCAGTTCCTTCTTAGCCACCTTATAGTCAATCTCCACGTGCTTTGTGCGAGCATGAAAAACCTAATTAGAGCATAAATATGTCGCACCCAAATTATCACACCAAAGAGTGGGAGGCACAGCCAGCGAAATGCCCAACTCTTGAAGCAGAGAGACTAGCCACGTGACCTCAGCCGACACATCAGCCAGTGCCTTGTACTCAGCCTTAGTAGATGACCGAGCCACCGTCCGTTGCTTCCGACACTACCAGGAGATCATATTGCCACCCAGAAAAACCGCAAAATCACTGGTGGATTTCCTGTCATTCGGATCACCAGCCCAGTCCGAATCCGAGAAGGCATGAACAGCAAGAGAGGAGGTCCAACGGATAAAGAGACCAAAATGAAGAGTACCTTTCACGTACCGAAGTACGCGCTTGAGTATAGCCCAATGCTCAGTAGTCGGGGAGTGCATGTGCTGATAAATCTGATTCACAACAAAAGAGAGATCTGGACGCGTCACAGTATGGTACTGAAGAGCTCCCGCAAGACTACGATACTGCGTGGGATCCGCATAGGGAGCCATGGAATCAGGCACCGGACGAGACACAGGAATCGGAGTAGCCAGCGGCTTACAATCCACCATACCTGCACGAGTCAAAATGTCCCGCATGTACCGTTGCTGGGAAAGAAAGAGACCGTCAACCCGGGAAACTGTCTCAATGCCAAGAAAGAAAGACGGAGCACCCATGTCACGAATCTTGAACTCCGAGGCTAAGTCAGTGAGGAGACGACGCACACAAGTAGCATCAGAACCCATCACGAAGATGTCATCAACATACACAAGCAAATATAAGCAGACAGAGTCACGAGAATAAATGAATAAAGAGACATTCGTCATGGATGGTGAAAAACCCACTGAAACCAAGAAAGCACGTAACCTATCAAACCACGCCCTAGGGGCCTGCTTAAGCCCATACAATGACCTCTGCAATAAACACACAGAATCCGATCGGGCCTTGTCCTCATAGCCAGGCGGCTGCCAACAGTCTCAGAGAGATTACCGTTGAGAAACGCATTATGCACGTCGAGCTGCCGAATCGTCCAACCCCGAGAGACAGCCAAAGACAAAAGTAGTCGCATAGTGGTTGGCTTGACGACAGGGCTGAAAGTCTCAAAGAAGTCCTAACCTGCCACCTGATTGAAGCCTTTAGCGACTAACCGTGCATTGTGCCTCTCGACTGTGCCATCAGCCTTGCGCTTCGTCCTGAACACCCATTTGCACCCAACGACATTCATATCCGGAGTGCGATCCACTAACCGCCAGGTGTTATTCTGAATCAAGGCATTAAACTCAAGATCCATGGCTTCACGCCACTCAGGATACCGAACCGCTTGAGAATAACAAGTCGGTTCAGGAACAGTTATCAAAGCAACATGCCGAGTCGGTCCTTTAGAACGAGTCGCCATGACATGAGATGGGGGTGGAACCACCTTCGCCGTACGATGACCCCACTTAGCCGTAATAGCCGGGACCACAACCGTAACCGTGCGAGAGTCCAGGGCAGTAGTGGCACCACGAGAACCCGAGTCGGCCACGGCACCACATGGAACAACAGCTACCACCGTCCCTGGGTGCGGCGCAGCACCGATCACACCGAGACCAGGATCCACTCGAACAGCACCAACGCCCCACGGAGAGATCTGCCGAGAACTAGGGACCTGAGGAAGCACAGAAGTAGCAAACGGATATATGGTCTCATCAAACCGTACATGATGGAAAATGAATACCTTTTTAGTAGCAGGATCAAAACAACGATAGCCCCGAAAAGAAGGCGGATAACCAAGAAAAACACACGGGGAAGACCAATACTGTAACTTGTTGCGATTGTATGGACGCAACAGGGGGTAACA